CTCAGTTGGATGGCCGATTTGGATGAAATTGGATCCGACGTGCATGCAGTAGCCTCCTCTGTCCTGGCCTCGCACTCCGCTCTGACTCGGAGGCGTTAAAGTTTAAACCTCAACCCGCACCCCCTCTTCCTAAGATCCATCTTCATAACATGTTGCACCTTTCGAGCTCTAATCCATTTGCAACTCTTTTGCGAGTTCTCAGATCATGGTGGTGGTCCCCAACGTGCTAGTGGATATCCATGGATGGACCTGCAGGAGTCGCCTTCCCTTACATTGCTGTCATGCGCCCACAGGCCACAGGATGCCACCTGCAGAAGTCCGGACGTCCTCCGCAGAAAGCTGATGGCTTTTTATTAGCTACTATGTAATGTAACTCTGTGGTGGACAAACACTGATTCGGGATGCCATGGGGAGATCCTTCTCTCTCACTAACTATTTTACGGTCACCAAAATTTCACGACTAGCTCCTACAATTCCTGAGGGGACAGATCCTATGATATGGCTGGAGAATCGCTACTAGTCAATTCCAAGAGGCAGAGTACAGGCCTCAACACAAGAAACTGACCCTCATCGTCGAGCAACAAGGGAAGATTTAAAAAATGATTCCTTTTGGACGGAATTGCTACGGACGTGGTGCAAACTACTGCTCCCAGATAAAGTTCCCCCAAATCGTTGGGAAAACGTCTGTCAACAACCCCTACTCAACAATAGATGGATCACCGACACTCGAGGTAGGATGCTACACTGCATCGATTCGCCCTGAAAGGGATGGATGAAAAAAGGTACACTTAGAATTGGGGATATCTGGAGTTCAGAGGCTCAGGACCAGCGCCCTCTCTCAGACCTCCGATTTTGCTTGCGCTATTGTAGGAGGACAGAAGAGGCACCAGAGGCGAATCCATTCCCTTAGAGTGGATTAAGATCCTCAAGAATGGACCACAAATTAAGCAAGGTGATTGGGTTGGCATCCAAGGGGATTCCCTGCTAGTCGGAAATGTAGTAATGGTAAACTCAGATGGGGTCATTCTTATCTCTTTGTTTTCGCTCACACAAAACAATAGGGTAATGGAAAGTTAATCAAAGGAATCCAGATTGGTCACAACAGAGCAAGTATTCAGGATTAGAGTGTTGAGATGTAAAGAGCATTGGTTAGCCTTTGTAGCGGATCTCTGGTTGGCCTGTGAGACCAGCCCCTTGGCCTGTTCTCACAGGCCTGTGTTGTATTCGGGGTAGTCCTGTCCAGGCCGGTACCTCTGTCGGTACCAGCCAGTCCAGTCCAGTCCAGTCAGTCCGCTGGGGTATACCCCAGCTGTTCTCTGTTTTCCGGATCATTCTGCATTCGCACAGTTTTGGAGTACGCGCGGTGGAGTCTTGTGTGGGAGCTGCGCTGTGCCATCTCACTCTTCCCTCATCCTCCATCTCCATTTGTGTCTCAGGCGGAGCACCTCACCCGGTGGGTCCGCCACATTGGTATCGGAGTGGGATCGATCCTTGATCCCGCCCACCCACCCTAGTCATCCCGTTGTCCGGTAGTGGACGGCGCTGTACTTTCCCGGTTGGGAAAGTAGTGCAGAAGATCTGTCCGCCATCATTACGGGCGCCACGAAGTTGCAGCAGGCGAAAAGCAGCATCTCGTAGGCCGACTGCAATCATTGCGGGCGGCAGTAGTGGTTGGCCGCTTGTGCAAGAGGGCCGGAGCAGCAAACTCCGCCAGCCCCACTGGCGGTGCTGTCAAATGTCGGCTGCAAAAATTTTTGTTTTTGCGTGATGGTGATCACGCACTTTGCGGCGCGTGGGGTTTGAACCCGGGTAGACGGCGGCGGCGGACGTTACCGGACGGCGTGATAACCACTGCGCCAAGTGGCGCATGTGGCTGAAAAGAACGATAGGAGCTTTTTGCCCCCCCCCCCCCGGTCAACGAGGTGATGAGGTCCGAAGTGCAGTTGGCGGCGGGGGTAAGGTCTGTTTCGGCGCTTCGGGGCCGAGTTTCAGGGTTTCGCTGTTTGGAAGTATCGTGGCGGAAGATCTTGCGCCCCCACGTTTCGGCGGGTTTGGAGGCCAGGTTGGAGCGGGGGTAGGATGAGTTTCCAGTGCTGTTTGTGGCTTGAAAACCCCCTGATCAGGGGCTGATCTATAGTGGTGAGGGTCTGCTCAGACAACACACCCCCGTGCTGCAGTGCTACTGCAAGGGGCTGATCAAGATCTCAGCCCCCTCCCTTCTCCAGTTGGCTTGCTGCTGCGAAGGCCAAGACCCTCTCGGTCTTGGTACACCTTGTGCCCTTGGAGATACCAAGGGCCAGGTATCACTTCCCTCTTCCCTCTCTCCACTATTCCACTTTCTCTACCTCCTCTCTCTCCTCTTCCTCACCCCACTCACGTCCTTCTAATCACTCTCACTACTCATACCCCTCTTCCCACCCCACCTTTTCTCCCACCACCCACTATTCGTCTCTATTTTATTCATTTCTTTTCTTTTCTTTCTCTCTTCTCTCTGCTTCTTGATCCCTCTCCACCTTTCTCATCCCTTTCTCTCCCTTTCCACCTCCCTCCTCTCCCCCAACTACAATCCCATCACTCCCCCCATCTCCCCCTTTACTCTTTTTCTCTCTCTCACCTATTTCTTTCTTTTCTCCTTCACTTTTTCATCCCCCTTCCCCCAACTTCGAAAATTTTCCGTTCTTCTTCTTTTCATCTTTCTTTTGAATTTGCCCCCCTTTTCCAAATATTCGAATTATCTTATTCCCCACCCTCTTTTCTCGAGCGCCGAAACTCTCCGACAGCCGGCACCCTTAAATCTGATTAGGTGTTAGTCATTCTCGCTTCGGCACACATTTTGACCCCATGGGGGTAACGAAGTGTTGCCGAAATTTTTCCATTTTGCTTTGCCTTTCTTCTTGACGGCACACTTCGACCCCATGGGGGTAACGAAATGCTGCCGAAATTTTTAAAAAATCCTACACTTAATTTCTCTTCACCTCCTCATCTACTTATTTATTTATTTATTTATTTATTTATTTATTTCTTTATTTATTTTCTAAATTTTTTAATTTGCGGCACTTTGAAACTTAGTTTGCTTACCTTGGTCTCTTCTTTCCCTTGGCACATTCTTGACCCCATAGGGGGTAGGGAAATGTTGCCGAAAATTCCAAACAAATAAATATTATTTATCTCCTTACATTTTGTTTCCTTATTTCTTTAATTATTTTTATTATTTATTTATTTTCTTATTTATTTTTATTTTTCTCTTGAAATTTCACTGTTTATTTATTTTCCTCCCGCCTCCCCCCCCATGCTTGCTATTTTATTTTCTAGATTAGGTCACTGGTACCTTACCCTAACCACTCAAACTTCGGTTAGGGTTTTCTTAGGATTTTTCTGGGGTTTATGGTTTTCTTAAGCCCTCTCCTACTCCCCTTTTCCACTCGGGCACCCTGAATCTGAACCACCCCTCCCCTTTTGACGGCGTCCGCGCTCGATTTACTAGCGTCGCCCGTCGCCTTCTATCGCAGACCTCCCCCTACGCCCTCCGCTCACGCGGACCTCCCCCGACCCTCTCTAGTCCGGCCCGTTACCTCCCCATGGCCGACGACGTGTCCCAAGCCGCCGAGGCGACAACAACCTCAACATCGGGCTCCGCACTTGTGTCGACGGACCAGGGCCATCAGCCCTAGGGGGATCTGCACACCCTCATCACCTCCCTCCTTGCGCCCTTACAGACGCAGGTGGCGACTCTTGCCGCTAGCCTACGACAACTCCAGAACGCTGACCGTCCTTCCTCTTCTCACTCTCTCTCTTCTCCTAGCTCTCAGTCCAGGTCCCCCGTCCCCCGACATGGTGGCCAAGGCTGAGTTTCCTCCTCTGCCGCCCCCGACCCGGCTATCCTGGTGACCGTCCATGCTCCTAGCGCGACGGCCGCCACGGGCCAGGCCCTCCCTCACTCTACGGGCGCACCCGCCCAGATTCCGATCACTACGGCTACGGGACCAAAACCTGCTGCCATGATCTCTATTTTTCCGGGTGCCCCGCTTCTTCGTCCCCTTCGCACGACCGCAGCGCCACCTGGCTCTCCCCCCTGTGGGATGCCTCGCACCGCTCGTGCGATCCACTTCCCTCCTCTTCCTCCTGCCACTCCTCGCTCGATCTACGTTCGACGTCTCGAGGACGAGCTTGCCCATACCCGGGCCGACCTCGCTCTCTTACGCCTTCAGCCACCCCTACCCTCACTGGTGGCTACGCCTTCAGGCGCACCCCCTTCCTCCTTTACTCTTCCTTCCATGCAGACTCGCTTCCCTCGCCCTGCACCCTATCCATCCCCATCGTACCTTCTTCCTATTCCCTCGGTTGTTGCGACCTCTTCTACCGCAACTCCCTTGCAGCTTGTCGCGGTTGCCCCTGCCGCTCCCCCATGCGGTCCGGGCGTACAGTTAGTTGTGCCCCTTTCTCTAGGACCTGCACCGACTTACTCAGCCATGGCATATGCCTCTGCTCCTCGATCCCCTCGCCACCAAAACGGTGGCGCACCACTCGTCCGCTTGGCGGACATTGCCTTGTACGACGATACAGGGATACGCATGTGTCGGTGGCTGCAGTCTGCCACCCGCACGCTCCAGCTCATGGGCGCCCCACCTGACACGTGGGTGGGTCACCTCTCCACGCGCCTGCGTGGCGGTCTCTTCGACGCCTGGGAGAATTTCTATGCGCACTCCCTTCGTGAGGGTTGGACCCCGGCCTTCATGGATTTTCAGGCGTTCCTCGAGGACCGCTTCGGAGCCCGACATGACGTCACTGACGCCTTCGAGCGCGTCGTTAACACACGCTGGTCCGACTCTGGTAGCACTGTCGGCCTGGACCACCACATCCAGGTCTTTCAGGATGCCCCCCTCATTTGTGATGTGGCATTCTTCCCTGAGGCTGCCCTCATCGGCCGTTTCTTGGCCAGCCTTCCCCTTGAATACCACATCGGCCCCGCAGGCCTATGAGGCCGCTAGGACCCATCAGCGGATGCGGGCCTGTCTTCACCCCGCTTCCTCCTCCCAGCCTCAGCGTACTGGCTACGCCCCCTCTTCCTCTCACGACACTTCCCAACGCCGCTCCCCTTTCCGCGGCCGCCCCCGCCGTTCCGCGCAACAGGGCCGCCACTTCTCGCTCCACTTCAGCGCGCTCAAGTATGGTGAGCAGGACTCTGTCGCCACGCTGTCGACTGACGGTGACCATAGGCCGTCCACTACCACCTGGAGGACTCTACTTTCTCTATGGCCGAGCGCTTCCAACTCATCCTCTTCGCCCTCTCCTGGGCACGCAGCTTCTCCGGTCACGCTGGCGCGTCGCCCCTCGAGGTCCCTCAGTAGGACCTCCCTCAGGGTTTTGTCCCTCCTCGCGGTGTCCTTTCCGCTGAGGAGCGCGCGACCATTTTGGGCCAGCGTGGGTGTTTGCGCTGCTGCCAGGACGGTCATACCTCCTCGCGATGCCCTTACACCGCCGCCCTCGACCGCCACTACGCTGACCTTTCCCGCCAGCGTCGTCTTCAGTCCCCCTTCGGCGCCTTGCATCCCTGCGGCGCCTCCTAGCCACGGTGCACTGTACACCTGCGCCATCCTCAGTAGTGGGCTTCCTGACATCTCCGTCGCGGTTCGCCCCTCTCGCTACTGGAGCTGAGGTATCGCAGGACCTGACAAAGTGTACCCCGCCCTCTGTCGCAGTACTGTTTGCGTCTCCGCAAACCACCGTCTCCCCTCCTACCCCTCCACGACTACCGACGCGTCGAGCCATTCGCTCAGCCCGTTGCAGCGAGCAGCTCGCTACTCGCGAGGACGTTGTGTCCTCTCTTCTGGACTTGATCATGCTCCAGGCTCGTCAGGAGCGACTCACGCTGCATGTCGCTGCACTGCGTCGCCTTCTCACCCTCCTCTCTGACCGTGATCGCACCCTCATCATTCCAGTGCGACTGGGGACCTCCACGAGGGTGTACTCAGCGCTGTGGGAGTTCGGTTCTCAGGGCGACTTCATTCACCCATGTGTGGTGAAAGAAACCCATTTATCCACGACAGGGTCTTCGACTCCCATCTCTATCACCCTAGGGGATGACAAGACCCAACGCTTCTTCGATCAGACGGTCACCGACCTTCCTTTCTTCCTCACTCTCGAGCCGACTGATCGTCCCCCGGCGTCTCGTCGCCACCGCTCCTCTGCACATTTTGATGTGATGGAGACGGGGTACGACTTCATTCTCGGTACTCCGTGGTCTCGTCGGTTCCGCAGCACCGAGGCCGATTGGGCGATCAACATTCTCGTTCTCAAAACGAAGTGTGGACAGACGTATCGCATACCTTTCATAGGTACCACCGCGACACCACGCCCCGACCCTCCTCCTCTGGAGCCTTCCATGCCCACAGCATCTCCTACTATCACCGTCACCTCGCCTCGTCAGTTCGCCCATTTCATCTGACAAGACGACATCACCTTCTTTATGATGAACGTTATGAATCTCTTGCACTATGATCCACCCTGTCCCGACGCCGAGCTCATCTCTCTGGAGCCAGATCCTAGTTCTATCTTCATGACTCCCATCTCTACTTCCCTCCCTCCGTCGTCCGTCGAGTCCACCCCGCTGACGTTGACGCTAAGCAACTCGTACGCTATACGGCCGACCTGGAGCCCGCAGTTTGTGACCTCATTCGAGAGTACCAAAAAGTTTTCCCATCGTCGTTCTTGTATGCTGGCGTCCCACCAATGCGCGACGTCGAGCATTCCATCCAGGTCGTGCTTGACTATCGTGTTCACCACCAGGCACCCTACAGACTCTCGATCCCCGAGGCCACCGAACTCAAGCGTCTGCTTGAGGAGCTCAAACCCAACAACTCCCCGTGGGGTGCACCCGTCCTCTTTGCTCACAAAGCGGATGAAACCCTCCGTCTTTGCATCGACTATCGCGGCCTTAACCGCTACACGGTTAAAAACAGTTACCCCATGCCTCGTTACGACGAGTTGTTCGACCGCCTTGCAGGCAATCGTTTCTTTACGAAGATTGGTCTTCGTAGCGGTTACCATCAGATCCGCGTCGCTGCAGCGGACCAGCCGAAGACAGTGTTCCGATCGCGCTTCGGCCACTACGAGTTTACGGTGATGCCATTCGGCCTCACCAACGCACCCGCTACCTTCTAGAGGGTGATTAATAACATCTTCAGGGACATCCTGGAGCAGTACGTTCTAGTCTACCTCGACGATATCCTGGTCTACAGTCGTACCCTTGAGGAGCATCTCAGACACCTCCGCGACGTCCTTGACCGCTTGCGTAGACATGGCTTCTACGCCAAGCTGAGCAAGTGCCGCTTTGTCCAGCACAAAGTGAAGTTCTTAGGACACTATGTGTTTGAACAGGGTCTCCACAAGGACGACGCGAAGATCACTGCTATTGCGGAGTGGCCCGTCCCCACATCCGCCAAGCAGCTTCGCAGCTTCCTAGGCCTCACTAACTACTATAGTAATTTCATCCTGGGATATGCTAGGTATTCCTACGTCCTTACCTCCACCCTCCTCCGGAAGAACCCGCCATGGGCTTGGACACCGCTCTACGAGGACACCTTTCGCGCCCTCAAGAAGGCGGTGGTGACATGTGCACCGGTTCTTCACCTACCCGATTTTGATCGCTCTTTTATCCTTACCACCGATGCGTCAGACTTTGTTGTAGGAGCAGTGCTTTCTCAGATTTTCCCCTCCTCTCCTGATTCCAATCATCCTCGTATCCCTCGCTTCCCACCCCCTACCCCTACCACTGCCTCCTGCCCTGACGCCTACTCGTCTAGCTACCGACGAGTCTTCTATTGACTATTCTCCTACCATTGCCGAGGACGGCACTGTCGAGTGTTGCTCAAGTGATTGTCCGATAGCCTTCTACCCCCGTCAGCTTCTGCCCGCAGAGATAAACTACACTGCTGATGAACGTGAGGTTCTCGCAGTAGTTTATGTCGCTCGGCACTGACGTCACTACCTGCACGGGGCACCATTCATGGTGTGCACGGACAACTCTGTTGTCTAGGCTTTTTTGACAAAGCCGAAGCTCACTCCTCGACAAGCTCGCTGGTGGCGCGACCTATCCGAGTTTAGTTTCACCACTGAGCACATCAAGGTTGAGACTAATCGGGTCGCAGATGCCTTATCCCGGCGCCCTGACCACGATCAGAAGCAGATCCAGCTCGGTTCCATTTCGGTCACTACCGTCCACCACTCGGTGATCAACGAGTTTCGAACTTAGTACCGCCACTGCCCCGACTATTGCGACATTCATGCGACCCTTCGGAGTGTCAAGACCGTCCCGACCTACTCTCTCAGGGACAACGGTCTTGTGTACTGACACGGTTCACAAGGCACCAGAGAGCCCCGTATTTGCGTTCCCTCCACTGGACAGCTATGTGTCCGGGCAGTAGCAGAGTTCCATGACCAGACAGTCGCCGATCATATGGGCTTCCACAAGATGTTGGCTCGTGTGAACCGCCTGTACGTCTGGATGAAGCGCAAGGACTTTGTGAAGGAGTACGTCGCAGAGTGTCCCACCTCTCAGGGAGGTGAACAGTGCGAACCACCTGCCTTATGGTTTGCTCCAATCTCTTCCTATTCCTAAGGGTCGTTGGCAGTCCATCTCAATGGACTTTATCGGTCCTCTTCGTTCTCCGACCCCCCGCGGTCATGATGTTATCCTGGTCGTCGTCGACCGCTTCACGAAGCGTGCACACTTTGTTCCGTGCCGCTATGCCATCAGTGCACGTGAGGTCGCCGACATCGTGTTTGACCGAGTCAGGTGTGACCACGGCTTACCTATGAGCATCATATCTGACCGTGACCCGCGCTTTACCAGCCGATTTTGACGACGATTCCACGAGGTTTACGACATCCAGCTCCGCTTCTCCTCGTCTTACCAACCCCAGACTGATGGCCAGACCGAGGTCACGAACAAGACTCTCGGAGATATCCTCCGAAAGATTGTTCGTGACGACCATCAGTGGGCTTCTAGCCCGGTCAGCTTCCGTGTGAAGCTGCCCGACTACCTACGTCAGGCTTGTGCGCACGATGTCTACCACGTCTTGTTACTACGTCCCTATCGCACACCGTCCGAGCGTTTCGCTGGATGACCATACGAGCACCCTCCACCCATCATGGTGGACGGCCACGAGGAGTTCCTCGTTTAAAACATCATTGGTCGCCAAATCACCGACGACAACCCTCCGCATATTGAGTATCTCGTACGTTGGAAGGGTTACCCTGATGAGGAGGCTACTTCGGAGCCCCTCGAGCACTTGCAGCACGCTCGCATGTTGGTGCGTGCATATTACCGTGCTCGTCGTGCTGGGTTGACTGCTCCTCCTCAGCCCACTAACCCTCCTCCTTCTCCTTCGACTGAGGAAACCTCTGAAGTCGAGCCTGCTCCATCCGAGGCAGACCTTCCGCAGCAGCCGGATGCTTCTGAGCATCCACAACGCACTTGTCGTCGTCTTGCTCGATACGGCGATTGGCTCTGACTTATCTTCCCACGTCTTTGACTTCTCAATACTCCAACCACTCCAGTTTTGCCACTTCAGTTCGTCGGCGTTGCGGCTCTTCCTCGACGACGTTCCAGACTTCTCATCATGGACGTTATCGACAGCTTCATGAACTTCGTCACGATCTGCTCTGCCTACTTCAGATGTCGTCACTCTCTTACCACCTTACCCTGTACAGTACCCTGGTTGTGTCGCATGATGGTCTCCCTTCGCCGGGTTCCTCTGAGTTCGGCTCTCCCTTGGTATACGCATAGGCATCGGGACCGTAGCGTTGCCTTGGCTTCCCAGCTTACGGATCCAGCTCCGACTTCCCCACCTTAGGAGTCATTTGCATGATTCCCTTACCCCTCACTTTTTCTACTCTCCGCCGACCCTCACGCCCTAGTTAGGCAGCCTCGCATGCTTCATCTAGGTGCGCCTAGTATACTAGGCTCCCTTGTTCCCTTGCATGGTCGACCCTCCATAGAGGTGTGGATGCCCTTATGAGTTATCGACCCCTAGGCTGCATTCACCACCCTCAAAGACCATCCCACCCTTGGTTTGCGACACGCTCCTCCTGTGACATATGGTTGTCTTGTTGTTGCTTCGTTGCTCTCAGACCGAGGCTACTGCCTCTGACATTTCTACGATTTAGTTGTTCTGCTTTTGCTGTTCTCAGGACTTATACACTAGTCAGTTGTTTCCAGACTAAGGCTACTGCCTCCAACATTTTTTTTTTTTTTTTTTTTGACCATTTCTCGATTTATGTGTGTCATCCTTGCGCAGGGGCCATGCTAATCTTCTCTGTATCGTTCCAATTTTAACGGATGTCCCAAGGACACTGCCTCCAACATTCTAGGATCTAGTTGTCATTACTTTTTGCTTTTCTAGAACATGTATGCAAGTTAGTTGTTTCTGCTTTCACTTAGGCTGTTAACATTGTGATATGGCTGTTTTTGTGACATTTTCTATCTTAGGTTGCATCTTATAGACTCAGCATGGAGCTTGCTCCGCATCCTAGCCTACTCAGGTTTTCTTTTTCTTTGGTAGAGTTTCGCTTCTTGGCGGAAGCGTGCTTGTATCTAGGCGATCCATCACAGGCCGAGGATCATGTAGCGGACCTCTGGTTGGCCTGTGAGACCAGCCCCTTGGCCTGTTCTCACAGGCCTGTGT